TCCCCCCACACCCACATCTTCATATCGAATTTAGGATTTTCAAGTCGAAAATGATGCTTTTTCGTAAGAAAGAATAAGCCACTCGGAACAAAAATACCTGCAATTACAATTACAATCGATTATCGAATACAATGTTAGTTGTAGGTATCGATTGAAATGAAGTTACAAATATTGTACTTGCAAGATAATTATTGATGAATTTCGATTAGGAATATTATGCCGACATTTTTCTTTTTCATTGAATAATTCTGTAAAGAAATATCATATATGCTGTTAGAAAAAAAAAGAGAGAAGTTAGAGTCAATCTATAGATGATTACACGTTTGTTTATTTTTACATCCACCGATTATACATTTCTTATGTCATTCTACAATGGTGAATAAGGTAATATTGCTATGACAACTAATCAAAAATAACACATACAAAGTTTGCTCTTAAAGATATTACAAGACGAATAAACACAACTTGAAAAGCAAAGAAAATATTCCATCACTTTTTTGCAGATATCAGAATCTCAAAACTGATAGTTACAATCATGAAACAACAAATCAATGTACTTGACGCTGAAAGAGTGTCTGATGTGTGATACTGCTTATGAGACCTGATTCGATTTTATTCATCATAGTTGTTGTTGAATTGTTTAAAAAAACATCTATTTCAATAAGGATAAAATTATAAATAATAATAAGTCAGAAAACCTTATTAAATACAATTTAAAAAGTCAGAATCAATGTACTTTTTCAATTGGTTTAATGAAGACTAGAATGTTTGATACGTATGTGATGATGGAAATTGAAAGATTGGTCATTAAACAAAATGTAGAGATCAGAGATGGGCAAGTCAGCGATTTTTTGACTCAAGTCAAGTCAAGTCAAGTCAGAGTCGCTTTAAGTCAAGTCACAAGTCAAGTCAAGTCATTTCTTAAAAATTCCAAGTCAAGTCAAGTCAAGTCGGAGCTACTTTGAGTCAAGTCACAAGTCAAAATTCAAGTCAAGTCAAGTCAAGTTGGAGTTCAACCCCGATTTTCACTGTGTTTTCTTTAAATGAAGACAAATTATCGAAAACATTCTTTCCTTGATCCATATTATAGTTGTACTCTCGTTTGCTAAATTATTTATTAATTTAATTACTATAAAAACAAAGAAAACAACGTATTTCCGTTAAACAGATTTTTGGGAAATGAAATGTCCAATAAAAATTGAGAAAAAAGATTTTCTACGTATTTCAACAGCCATCATCTTATTTCAGACGAATTCACTCTGTGAACATATTTGCTGATCTTCATTTCGATTTTTCCACTACATTTCAGTTAAAAAACCGAAATTGAAGTGAATAAAATCCCTTTAGATATATACATGTTTAGACTTGACTTGACTTTTTTATATACGGCCAAGTCACAAGTCAAGTCAAGTCATTCTGAAAAATTTCAAGTCAAGTCAAGTCAAGTCATAATTCGTTCAAAAAATCTTCAAGTCAAGTCAAGTCAAGTCAGACTTGACTTGACTTGGCTTGATTCAAGTCATTTTTTGACTTGACTTGCCCATCTCTGGTAGAGATATATTGACTCTAGTAATTGGTTTGGGGAATATATGACACTGTTAAGTTTTATTGAGATAATGCTTTCGAATATGAAAAAAAAACATGAAGTATTCTTTTTGCTTATATGGTTTCGATGGAAAAACATTAACTGAATTTTCTTATGAAGTTAGATACCCTAAATTTTTCAAATTGCACTTTGCTTGTTTAGAAAATTATTTTACCAATTTAACAGAGAAGTATTTATTGGTACTAATATGAGAGCATTAACAATTAAGAATATTCTATCTAACAAACAATAATAGATACTTGAGTATGTGTTCTTAACATAAACGAAAATAAAAATTTTGTTTGTACATAAAAAAGAAAATTAATGCTTAATTTTCAATATTATTTGAAACAAACACTAGATAAATGTAGTTTTATCTGTAACATGTACTTTCCTTGTTCTTCTATCATTTTTTTTACCAAATGCTTTTCATCATTGGATTTTTTATTAAAAATATACGCCAAAGGATAAGAGAACGATGATAAAATTTTGCAGACTTATGCTATTTTGTATTTATTTCCTTGATGAACATGCAATGAAAGTAATACATTATGATATTTCTACAGTTTATCTAAAATTTAAATTGCTTTACTCGAAATTGATATGAGATAAATTAGTTCCAAAATAACTAATAAATAAAGTACTGTGTAATTTGATAATGAAAAATTCCAATAAAAATTCCTACTGCTCTAATGTATTGTCTTTACCTTGTGCTGTAGTCTAAAAGTACTAAAAATGTTAACAAGACAAGACAGAAAAGGTTGTTCCATGCTCATCTCTGGTCTAAATGAATAAATATTTCGAATAAGAATTTTGTAATTCTAAAAAAATTATGGTGTGGGGTGTGGGTGTGAGTGTGGGTGTGGGTGTGAGTGTGGGTGTGAGTGTGGGTGTGGGTGTGCGTGTGGGTGTGTGGGTGTGGGTGTTGGTGTGGGTGTGGGTGTGGGTGTGGGTGTGAGTGTGGGTGTGGGTGTGGGTGTGGGTGTGGGTGTGGGTTATGTGTGCAAGTGTGTCTATCAAGACAAGAGACACTCACATCCACACCCTCAATACTCGTTCATGAATGTAATCATGATCACGTCTGTTGATCGTCCTTAGGTATATTTTAACAGTGTATCAACTATGACTCATACCACATGATGGCATGACGTTACATATGGTGCCAGATCAAAGAGTTCGATGCGCGTTATTTTTAGAAATCGGTGAGGATAAAACAAACGGATATAAGAATTCTATGTAATATTCTTTACATCGATCAAGTGTCACCAAAAAAATCTATTTTTGTTTGTTCAAAAAGATATACACCATTTTGTTGTGCTCTCAGATGAATTACTCTTCAAGCTTTTTTCACGTCATGCCAATGGAAAAATTAAAATATAAAGAAAAAAACTTTGTCGCCTGTATAATAAACTGATTCTGATATTGAGATTGTCTATTACTGATGCAAAGTCCTTGAGTTCCTGAAACAACACAGAAGTGCTCGTTTTCGAATTTGATTCTGCATTGAACAAATTACATAATTCTGGATTATTCTCTTGTGTTGAAATGCACCAAAACGTGCGGAATTACAGTTATTACTCGAGAAATTCCAGAGAAATCTCTAATAATGGGTTTCGTTTAGCTTGAATATAAAGTTGGCATTTTTTCCACTATGAAATTCCTTCCAACTTGGTGTATTTGCTATATCTTTATGACAATACTGAGTCATGGTTTTACGTTCTTTGTGTATGACAGCTGACCACTATTGCAGAAAAAAGAAAAAAAGGAGCGATAAAAGCGAAAAAATTTTGTCGCTCTTGATGACTCAAACTTAAAAACACCTCAAGAACTCATACTTTACTAATATGTTCTACAATTTAGAACAATGAATTTATACAACATAGCACGTCAATATTTCATTGCTATCCTTGGAATTTGGCTACGAACAAGCGATGAGCATCAGTATAGGATTGTAATCAAGCCTTTGAAGACGGTCACTTGTTTGATAGTTCTCTTTCTGAGCACCCTTGTATTTGATATTTTTTCCAATTATTTATCGTTGGACTAGTCAGACACAACAATACTAGAACATCTACAAATGTCATTCGAATTTTTCACGTTCATTTGTTTGATGATTATCGGATGTATTCTATTAGTTTTACTTGTCGTCATAGCAATGGATACACCTATCTATAGCATCATGATTATACATGTGTTTCTCCTGAAACTGTTCGAACTCATTTCACCTGTGTGTAATTTCATCAATTTGATTTTCATCTATCAAAAGAAAATATTATTTCTTATTCAACAAAAACATGCGGAGGAGCAAACGTCTGTTTCACTCATATCCAATATCCAAATATTTTACCTTCAACATTGATCTTTTCGACTTATTCTATCTTTAGTTTTCGTCTTCGGTCGACTATTTGTTATTCTTCGTCTTGCACGTCGTACAGGAAATGGTCAATACAAGAGATTACTTATCATCTGCGACTTGGCACTTTTCATTTTCGTCACTATTACTCTGCTTCGGTATTCAAATAAGAATTCAATGCGAATCTTACGAAAAATTTTCTTAGTCTGGTTACGTTTTCAGCTTCGAGACCTCGTCACTAATGAACCATTTTGGAATGGGTTGACTAATTAACCAGTAAAAATAAGGTGGAGCAACAGCGTGTTATCAATGATTTTTAGGACAGTTATTAGCTTCGTCTATAAATATCTCACATATGATGTTCGATTGCCCGATCGGAATGCTGTTCGCAAGTTTCTTGTTTTTCGTTTGGCAATTGTATTGTTCTTACCAGAGTGCTGAGGTATGGGTGTGGAGTGTGGATGGGTGCGGCTGTGGGTGTTAGTCTGCAATTTCCCGACACTGACACCCACATCCACACCCTCTTATTGTGAGGGTGTGGATGGGATTTTGAGCGTGTTGGTGTTCTGTTGACACACATACAGAGACCCACACCCTACGCTTACCCTTGATCTCAGATTTGCGGGGTACACAATGAGGTTGAAAGTATCAATGCCGATATACCAAATGCACTCAAAATCTTGAACTATAGATTTATATTGTAAACGATAAGTGTAATGAGATGGTTGCTCCTTTGGGTATCTTGGCTCATAGCTTATCGTTCTCGAGCGAATTAGTGTTAGGACATCTCTCTATTTTTGTCAGTTAGATTAAAATAAACATAGCTGTCAACAACAAACGGCACATTCACCACTTATAACACGACATTTTGTATGACATTACCGATGTTAGAAAGAAAAAATAACAAAGTCAATATGGAATAAAAAAAGAAAGATATGAACAAGGCCACAGGTATGTTTTATTTGTCAAGTTATTATGCGAGATTGAAAAGAACCATGCTGTCGTTCTGTTATCATTTTTCTTTCGTATATTTTTTTGTTATTATTACACGCATTCGATAACATGAATCTTATGTTTGAAACACAGAATTACGCAGTTGCTGATGGTATTAATTATGAATATATTTATATCGAAGCAAAAGATGATTCAAAACCAACCTTATTATTTCTTCATGGCTTTCCATCATCATTCTATTGTTGGCGTCATCAAATTACCTATTTTTCTAAGCAAGGATATGGTTGTTTAGCACCAAATTTAATGGGCTATGGTAAAACATATTCTCCATTGGATAAAAATGAATACAAAACTAAGACCATGGTTCAACATCTTATAATTCTTCTTGATCACTTAAATTTAAATAAAGTCATCGTTCTTGGACATGATTGGGGTGTTCGACCAGCAACTCGATTTGTTTTATATCATCCCGAACGTACATTAGGTCTTATTTTATTTAACGTTGGTTATCGTCCACCGATAAAGTTCGACTTGGAACAGATGTTACTATTCACCAAGAAAACCTTAGGCTATGAAACTCTTGGGTATTGGGAGTTTTTTAATTCTGATGATGCAGCAAAAATTCTCGAAGATAATGCGGATCGATTTATTGATCTTGGTTATACAAGTGATCCAATATTGTGGAAAACAGATTTAGCTCCACTTGGTAAAGTTCGGGAATGGTTAACAAAGGAAAAAACGACATCTCGAGCTTCATATTTAACAGATAAAGATTATGAAGTAACACATCAGTGTATTACTGAAGGAATTCAACCAAAATTAAATTGGTATAAATCAGCTATTGTTAATATTGATTGGGACGATGAAAAGAATCTTGATCCAACAATAAAACGACCAGTTCTTTATATTGCTGCGACGAAAGATTACATATGTCTTCCACAACTTTTTGCCGATCAAAAACAGCATATCGCTGATTTGGAAACAATTGAATTAGAAACTAGTCATTGGACTATGGAGGAAGATCCCGAAAATGTCAATCAAATAGTTGAAAAATGGATTAAAAAAATTATTTAAGTGGCAAAATATACTTGTCTTTAAACAAAAAAACTAATTTTTTAAGCTTTTAAAATAAATTTCTATCACTCTTACTTTTAGAAGAACATACACTTTGAATATGTTTAGTTCTACCATAACCAGAGATCTAACTATATCAAAAGAAAATTGAAAAAATATGAAATAATTTAATTCATTACCAAAATCAAATTAACTTTAATAAATTCAATAGAAGCAAATCTTTGTTTGCTTCATCAGATATCCTCAAAGCTAGACTGACGAAAGGAAAACACCAGAGGATATGTATGACTATAGAATAGATTGACCACCTAACGAAAAATTTGATCCTCTTTATATTCAATGCTCATCCCTTTTTTATATAACTTCAAAAGAATATTATCCATGTATAGCCACAACGATAAATCCAATTAAAATTATACTATTTTTATTCAATTATAATCTAATTTTAAACTCATATATTACCTTTTTCTAATTTCAAGGATTTTTTCCAAACTTATTTTTATCAATTAAAATTCATTGATAAATTTTAATGAATAAAAGTTGACAAATGCTTTTAATCGATTAGAAAGAATTCCTAAAACTATCGACAATAATCAAGATCAAATTTAACGAGTAAAAATACGATTATAATCGAATAAAAATAGATGAAACAACAATTCTTTTTTGTTCAATATCTTCTCTTTTTTTTAGCATTGGTGCATAACACTATGTAGTAGCAGATTCATATAAAACCCGGATGTGAGTGTGGGTAGAAATAAGACTCATCCACACCCACACCCAACCTCTGATTTGGTATGGGTATGGATGTGTGGATATGGATGGGTGTGGGAGTGGGTGAGTAAAGAGAAGACCGGTATCCGCATCCACACCCACGCTCATTCACATCCAACATCCTTCATCGCTTCATATACTAACACCAGTTAATCAATTTTTGCATCATATACTGCAATTTTCAAGTGAGTATTGTGTGCAACGAAAGAAATGCAACATCAAAATGTAAAAAATAGATCGAAATCTATCTGCTGAACACTTATTAGGAAGGCGACGACCAAAAATTGTTTCATTCATGACTTGCATGTTTATTATCTTTTCTCGAAATTTGCTATTTAATGATTTAAGATGTTTAATTGTTTGTTCATAAAATTGTTTTCGAAATTCAACTTCTGATGTTGATTGAAATGTCGTCACTGGGTGTTGGTGTGGATAAAGAATATATCCACACCCACCCACACCCTCTGTATGGTGATGTTGGTATTACCAATACTAAAATATTTTTAGTTTATAGGCTCACTGATGGGCTTTCTTAAGGTGTGAAAAACATTTCGATGAACAACTGAAATAGATGTATTGATTGATAATATTTACAAGTTAACAGAAATGTTTTTCATGATGACGTTAGTATTATTAAAGTCTGCCTATTCAGTATAGTATTGTAGTCCGTTGAATTTTGCCTTGGTTGTTAGGGATGAATGTCTGATATTTTGTGCTAATTTTATGATTGGTTGTATATATCGATGAATTGGATTAGTTATCCAGGTAGCTTCCATGAGGTTTCTTTTCGAACAAAAACAGAAGCCATCTGTAGATTCAATATATTTTTATATGATATCGTCTATTCAATCAATATAATCGATTGCATTAGTAATGATATTTGATAAATGAGGATAAATAAGAATTTGATAGACACATCAATGATTCACTTCAACAAGATTAGATTGAATTGAATCTAATTTCAAAATTAATATTGCATGATACTTGAAGGGCTGATGCAACGATATTCATTTTTTTATTTCTAAACGTATTAGTATGGCAGATAAAAAAAACCAAGGTCCCAAAAGAATATCTATTCTATTGACTTATCATTCTCGTTTTTTAAATTGCAAAACTACCTCGTATTGCACGTGTGAGAGAACAAAATTCGACCATACTTGATAGAAGAAAGGGCACGACGTAATAACCAAATAAAAGATAGGTATAACCGTGATATAGATGTCATCATCTTCAAACAATTCCAATCCTTTATTACAAGTTAATATCTTTTCACGTTTTTTTCATTGGTAAGTAGTATTTGATCATTTTGTTTTTTATCATTAGGAATTTTTTTTATTATATAGTTGGCTATCTTCTTTAATTACGAAAAGCCACAAACAAGGGATACTTCATCTTGATGATCTTTATGATCTTCCTGATTATCTTAAATCAACATCATTGACTAATAAGTTAGAAGAAAATTGGTTGAACGAAATAAAACGATGTCCACAAAATCCAAATCTAATTCGAGCTACATTACATACTATGGAATGGAAATTAATACTTTTCGGTCTTTTATTAATTCCTCTTGTGAGTAAAGATAATTAATTTTGAATTTATTTTGATCGCTTTATTATTAATTTAGAGTTTAATCAAAATAAATAATAAATATCCTTAGTTTAATTTAATTCTTTTTGTTTTAATAGGAATCATTAAATATTGTTCAACCATTATTACTTATCTATTTTATGAAGTTTTTTGAACCATGTTCAACAATGTTTTCTTGGCAAGCTTGGTTAGCAGCTTTGACTGTTATTATGGTACTATTATGTATAAATCTTATCCTTCATCAAGTAATATCGATTTCATTAATATCATTTATAGCTATGGGTCATTTTCGGTTTTTATAGTATGTTTATCGTGTTGTCATGTGTGGTGTACAAATGAGATTGGCTTATAGTGGTTTAATCTTTCGAAAAGTGAATGAAAAATAATTGATGATATAGTTTTAATTATTCTTTTTAAAAAGGTACTTCGGTTATCAAGTCATACAATGAATAATTTCAGTTCTGGTGAAATTACGAATTTATTAGCAAATGATGCCAATAAAATAGAACAGGCTCATTACTTTTTTAACTATTTATGGGTATGTTGTTAAGAGAATCTGAAATGAATGATTACATGTTTTTTTTTGTATGAGCAACAATATGAATCAAGTATTGGAAAGTATTGAGTAGTATGATTTTTTTTTGTAGGTCGCTCCACTACAAGTCATTGTAGTTGTTTTCCTATTGTGGCATTTTGTTAAATATATTACTTTTATTGCTATTGGATATACGTTAGTTCTCTTATTGATTCAACCATTATTCAGTCGTCTATTTCTTCATTTACGGTTTGTCTTTTTAATCTATATATTATTATCTTTTGAATAATAAAATTTCATGATTTTTAGTACCGAAGTTTTGAAAATAACTGATGAACGTATCAAAATTATGTCTGAAATTATTAAATCAATGCGAATTGTAAAAATGTATTGTTGGGAATCAGCATTCGAAAGAAAAATTTGTCATATAAGAACGTAAATGTATCATTCTATAACTTACATATGAAATAAATGTTAATATATTTAGACGTGAAATAATTAAAACTACTCTATTTATGATGTGTACTTGTATTGAAACAGTCCTATCACATAGTTATATCAGTATAACATTTTTAATGATGCATGGGACAATGTGGTCATTTGATATGAAATTTGATACACGTGTTTTTACTCTTTCATATGTACTAGTTAATTATACACGTCAATCTTGTATTAATTATTTTAACTTCGCTATTCGTGATCTTCTTAATTATATGGCTGCTCAAAAACGGATTCGAGTTAATTTGAATAGATTTTATTTTTTTTTGTTTTTGATTGTCATGTTTAAAATGAAAATTTTCTATAGACATTTCTTTTATTGGATGAATCTGAACGAGACAATCGATTGCTGTCAACATCTTTTAAGGATATCGTAGAAATAGATAAAATTGATGAAAATTCAATAAAACAAACATCTCAAGTTATATGCAATTTAAAACAAGCTCAATGGGAAAAAGTAAATGTTCTTATGTTTCTTCTGACTAAAATAATAATTGTTATATTTTAGAATGGTAAATTCTCATTAAAAAATATAATATTCGATGCTCATCCAGGTGATTTAATCTGTATTATTGGACCTGTTGGATCTGGAAAAGTTTGTTTTTTCTTGCCTTCCAATTTGAATATAATTTTACTGTTGATTTCATTTATTCAGAGTTCACTTTTACAAACATTAACAGGTGAAATAACTTATTTTGATGGAAAAGTTCGATTATATGGATCATTTTGTTATGTACCACAAGAAGCATGTAAGTGGATTATTACTATTGAAAACTCATTCAAACTTTACTTATTATATTAATAGGGATATTCTCATCATCAGTAAAAAATAATATTCTTTTTGGTAAAAAATATAATTATAAGTTGTTTCAAAGTGTTGTCCATGCGACTGCTCTTGACATAGTAGGTCAATTTTCATTTTTTTTACAAGAGTTATTTTTCTGAATAGATTTTTTTCAGCTGACTATGAATTAAAATTAGTCAGTTAATTAGTTAAAAATTTATTAGTGAATATCTTTCTCTATCCATATGAGAAAAAATTCTGAAAACTTCAGGATAGACTTCATGGCATGAATCGTATCTTTGGTGAAATTTTCAGTAAGATCGATTTTGTAGAGATTCTGAAGAAGGATTTATACTTGCTTTTGAACTTCTCATTCGATTATAAGAGCATTTGTTCTTATAGTTATTCGTACTCCGTCATATTTCTAACGAAAAATGAATCGTTTGTTTCTTGAAAAAATCGAAGCGTGCTCAGAAAAAACTTTGGAGGAAGATTTTCTAGTCTTAGGAGTTGTTTACAGCATCTACATTATAATTTTCAAAACTGTTGTCTCAATTCGAAGTTTTGCTAAACTGAAACACATGAAATGAAAGTCGATATTCTTTTTTTGTGCCGTAGTGCTAACGAATAATATATAAATGTGTTTAATGACTAGGATTTTGTTCAATTGTCTCATGGTGAAAATACTCTTGTTGGTGATCAAGGTGTCATGTTATCTGGAGTAAGATATGCTGATTTATTCGAAAAGAAAACATGATTTATTATCTATTATTGATAGGGTCAAAAAGCACGTGTCAATATGGCAAGAGCACTTTATCATGATGC